TTTTGTGTAAATCCTTATTTTTTCCCCTGTGGTTGACGGGGGCTGTGTGTCTGTCTGCTCCAGCCGCCCCTATCTGGAAAACCCAGGTAGAAAGCAAGCGGGGCTGACAAGATCCGCGTGCCTCAGCAGGCTGTGAGCGTGTGAGTGAGTGACCATAGGCCGAACCTGGGAGCAGTGTGTGTAACAAAATCCTAAGGAAACAGTTTAGCTGGGCAGAAATGAACATTTGGGCCCATAGAGAGGAATGTTCTCCCATTACGTTACCTGTCTGTTGTGATAGCAACGGTATCTGTGTTCACACAGTACCTCTCTCCTACAAGTTTAATGAACTTCTTCTTTGCGTGGTCATCCAAGTTGAGACTTGACAGTTTAACCTGGGGAAAGAAAAATCAAGCTATTAGCAAGTTTGATAGTAGAAGGCCAAAAGATTAACTGCACTGAAACACATAAAATATCTATTTCCAAATTAGTTCAGTGATGAACAGTCCCTCAGGGACAAACGCATCTGTGAAGAGATCAGCTTCTGGGGACAACTCATTAAGGTGTCCCAAGGCCAACTGTCATTTTTTACTTACCTTGCTCCCCCCTCCTCCCCCCCAGCAATCACCCGATGAGGTAGGTTGGGCTGATTAGGATTTGGCAGACCAAAGTCACCACACAAGCTTCCACAGCTGAGGGTGGGCTTGACCGGGGGTCTCCAACACCCTAACAAGTAGACCACACTGACTTTTACAAAATATCCTGCTAATCCTAAAATCATGTTAAGGGACCTCCAGCACAAAAACATCTGGTCAAGGTCAGACCTTTGGAGGTGGAGAGTTATAGCTATTTCCAGAGATGTCTAGGTAAAATAATGAAAAGAGAAAAAGGATTCATTTATATTCCAGAAATTATTACTACAAGGAAGAAATCTTGGGGTAATAGTTAAGGGGTAAATACCTTTGTTTTACAATTACCTTTATTGATATGATATGTCATACATATAAGATGTATATCTAAAGTTCTAATTATATATAAAGCTACTCAGTGTGGCATTACCCATTTCCTTTAAAATAAGTCATTCTAAACCTTCAATTATCCATACATATTTAATAATATACTGATGATTAATTCCCTTGTTATTGCACCTTTCTAAAATAATTCGGGGGGGAAGATTTTTACAAAAACTGCTGTCCCTCCAACCTCCACCTTTCTCTAGTCCGCCAGCACTGAGCCTCCTTGCGTCTGCAACTACTTTTTCAGGCAATATAGAAGGAAGGACCTAAAAGAAGGAGGCAATGAATGAAGGGAGGAAGTTGCCAGCCGGGCTCTGAAAGTCTGAAGGGTCAGGGGGAGCCAAAGGCTCGTCTGAGTCAGCGAGAGCCTGTCTCTGCTCCAGTTATACCCTGCCATTCTGTCTGAGTCAGGCATTTAAAGCAAGGTTGCTGTTTGTGCTTTGTTTGGTTTGCGGCATTTGTAATTTTCTCATTAGAACAACAACAGAAGATAGAAAGTTACAAATGCTGAAAACCACAAACAGCAACCTCGCTGACGTTGAAAGACACGAGAAAAAAAAGGGTCTGGGAAGCATTCCTGGGAATAAAGATATCCTGGTAGCTGTGCAGGCTCCCTTAATCATTCTTAAAAATTAAATTGTTTATAAGCAACTTAAAAAGATGGCTTAAGAAAATGGCTGAGGAGCAGCAAAAGAGGGGGCTGTGTCCTTTTTCAGCACGCTTTCTGCATTCCCGTCTGCCACTGTCATGTTTACATCTCTTCCAATCAGAGCAGCTGAACCCATTTTAGGAAACCGAATTCCCCCGACCTTTACTTACTTTTAGAGTCACCACTCTTGCTTTAGGATTACGAAGAGATGGCCCTGCTGAAACATAGTCTGTGGTGCTGATTTCAATTGGGAAGTGCTGCAAACATTTCTCGTCGCTATTCAGGGCAGATGGCCACTCTGTGCAGAAGTCTGAAGCGCCCATGATGGAATAAAAGTATAGACATCATTTTAACAACGGTCATTATTACGCAGAACCACAATCTCCACTCACTGATACTAATTTCATCCCCAATAAACACTGACGCTACATACAGATGCCTGATTGTTCAGGGGTTTACGAACAGACTGAAAAGGAAATAATATATGTTCAGAGGATGTCATCTCTATATATACATTCTGCAGATCACTCTCTACCAAGGAGCTGCGCTACGACACTCAGAACTCCATGCCAGCACAGCCGACAGTAGCTCCACATCACCACATGGAGTTTCAAACATCACTGATGGACATCTCAACCCCAAGCTACACATGATGCCCATTCTGACAAAGAACACTTCATATTTCTATCCCAAAAGACACTAGTTTTTAATGGAAGTGATTTATTAGGGATTCCTTTTTTAAAAATAGAAACAGAACAAAGGTGCTGTAATCCGAGTTTTTGAAGCAGCTGCACAAACTTTGCAAATGATGAGTCTCTGTATATGTTCCCGTGCATTGCAAAGTACCTCTTTCAAATCCTTTGTATAAACCCTAATATAGTATACCCCTAAAAACTCTGTATTTGATTTAATGTAATTCAGATCAATGATTGCTCATTGGAAGGATTGATAATGAAGCTCAAGCTCAGATACTTTGTTCACCTAATGCGAAGAGAGAACTCTTTGGAAAAGACCCTGATGTT